GAAAATTGAGGTGTTTACTGTTTGCCACAACTAATTAGGAAACATTTGCATTTATCGTTGTCAATCTTTCCAGGGTCTAATTAGAGTCACTAGTTTAACCGAAGATGATACCAAGGTTAGAATACTTGTCTAATGCCTATCTATCTGCATATTACCCAAACTTAGACAAGTATTGTAATGAAGTGTAAGTAAATGTAGTACTGTAAGTAGAGTAAGTATGTAGTTGTTTTAAAATTGCAATTAAAGTACGTGTATGTATTGTAAATGTTGTAAGTGTGTGGCAATAAATAATAATAATTTAAAAAAATACCAAGGTTAGCGAAACCACCTAAATTTTAAATTTTTATTCATCCCTATTTGTAGCCGTGTCAAATTAACTGTCGTTTCACTTAAGTAACCGTACATGTCGGTGGGATTCTTGTTTTCCAAAATCCCTCAAACTAGACTTTCAGCAATATAAAAGACAGAGGGTGTATCTTGGGACAAGTAACCAATGCAAAACATCCGTTCTCTAAGGTTTCTGTAGTTGAAGATCTCGCTCATGATTGGTCATAACACAATAAACATTCCAGACATAGTTTAGGTATTTATAGTTTTATGAGTTTGACTGTAATTAGTAAATGATTTGTTGCTATCCATTTCTGCTCCAAATTTGTCTTTTTGTTATTTTTTATTTCATATCCCCTCATGATCACAGTCTCACCCCTTTCGTCTGGTGAAAGTTAGTCTGATTACACACCCAGGTAATGGTTTTGTTTCCTTTCATCACCCTTTGTCCATATAAAATATATTCTTACCTTCATTTTGGAATTCTCAATTATTGACTTAAAGCTAAAGAAAGATGGCTGAGGACTTGACATATCATCTGGCCTCCATGAAAACAAACTCTGGGCACTGATAGAAAGAAAATATGAGCAAATGAGTTGAATCAAAGTACAGTATGATACAAATTTGATGCCAACATGGAAGATTAGATCTAAACTTCAGATAATGTGCTACCCATTGGGGAATTCAAGCATTCAAACTCAAGGTAGGGTCTGTCAGACCCCAACAGTGCGGATGCCATTCGGCAACTGAGAGGAAAGTAACTTTTACAGTCAGTGTAATTTAACACAGACTGTGGACTGCAGACTGAGGGTAAGAATTAATGACAAGAATTGATAAGCCTCTACTGTCCTTCAAGAACTCTCCGTTCATTTACATCTCTCTGTCTTAACTGTACCAGCTATAACTTGAAGTCTTATGGATCTAGAGCTTCTGCTGTCGCCTCGCCACAACTCTGGAACGACTTACCAATATATATCAGAAAATCAGACAATCTTCAAATTTTCAAAACTCGGCTTAAAACTCATTTACTTAAGGAGGTCTTTTTGAAATAATTATTGAATTCTATTGATTCTTGTTTTATTTTATTTTTAATATTATTCTATTTTAATCATATAACTTGTAAAGCGCCTAGATCTCATGCTTAGATAGGCGCTATAAAAATACTACTTATTATTATCATTAAAATGCAGACTGAGGGTAAAATACAGACTGCAGACTACAGACTTTTTAAGTGTATGTCTTAATATTTCCACTATCGAGAGCTGACAGTAAAGTATTATTCAGGCTAATCACACAGAAAGACTGCACTCCGTTGAGCCTGATTATCACTCTAGTTAGCCTGAATATCACTTAGGTTAGCCTGAATATCACTCAGGTTAACCTAAATAATGCTTGAGTTAGCTTGTTTATGGTTATCTCCCAATGATGGAAATGGTAGGTAAACACAATTCAGTTAAAAAGTCTACAGACTGCAGTCTTCATTTTACGCCCAGTCTACATTTTACCTTGAAGGGGGGCTCCCATTTAAAAAGGACGGGGGTGTACATCAGAAATTTTGAAGAGAACCCCCTATATTCTAAGACAACACATTATCTCCTGTCATATATTTTTGGCTAAATATCCTTAAAGGTACCACAAAAGCTGCTGCCATGAACCTTTTGAGGCTGAACACCCTAAGAGCTACCAAAACCACCTTACAGCTGTAGGTATGGCAAGCACCCCATCCTTTTTACATAGGAGTCCCCCTCTGCATGTTACTGCCAGTCTGCAATCCACAGTCCACAGTCTGTGTGTTACACTGACCGATAACTCATAGGGGTAGAAAACTGAACTCAGTCATTACTTTTCATGCCACATCATTCTTATCAAATATGCTGCTACATCATCATTCTCCATTGTCAATGCCAACTCAACTGGTAGTAAACCTCGCTTCTCAGGTTTAAGCAGCGTTTCTGTTTCCAGAGCCAACAAGCAAGGACATTTTTTCACAAGTGTTTTAGTGACATGAAGAAAGTCAAGCTCAGCTGCATAGTGCATCAATGTCTTCTTTGTCTTATCTTCGTCATCTCTGAACTTCTCATATCTATTGTCTGCATTGAGTTCACTCTTTAATAGGATCTCCAAAAATCTATTAATCTGCAAGAAACCACATGTCAAGGTAGTTTATTACTTACTGCTAATTAATCACTAAATGCAAATATTATTGTGAAAAAACTGTTCTTTCAAATTGAGGAAAATAGATTAGAAAATTAGCATTAAAACTCTTAAGCTACACAAGATTACATGCAGTGGTCAGAGGATTAGTAAACAAGTTAACAAGAAGTGAATGAGAGATGGAGTGAAAACACCCAACAAATAACCAGTAAAAATGACCGTGTTTCAAAAGCAAAGAAAGTCTGATATGTACAAGT